CCCCATCCCCAATCTGCACCACTCATCCAGTGAGGCTGGCTTTCCATACGGTCCCCCCCGTCATCCCCCGCCCGAGTGTCAAGCGCAGCTGTGAGCTTTGAAAGATGGAGATCAGTACGACCCTCCCACCCACAGCCGTCTTCCCTGTCTTCCTATTCACTGTGTTATTTGCCACCCCCCCCATATTATTCATAGGGCCCCCCTCCCACGGATGTACGCAGCCTGAATCCACCGCAGATTGCAGTTGAGTGTCCCCCGGTGGAAAAGGCCAAAAGCGACACCCCCACCCCCCCCACCACCACCAGTGGCTCTTTATCCGCTGAAATTACAACGATTAAAAGGCCATCCGGACCACATCCGTTATCGATTGGGAGCTGGGCAGAGCAGAGGACCCCTGACAGCGTGAAAAGCCGGGATCAGCTGTGATCACGACACCTGGAGCCTGCAGACTGAGCCCAGCCTGTGTTTAGATCCCCTCCTCAGTCATGCAGACCCCCAGCCTGTGTTTAGATCCCCTCCTCAGTCCTGCAGACTGAGCCCAGCCTGTGTTTAGATCCCCTCCTCAGACGTGCAGACTGAGCCCAGCCTGTGTTTAAATCCCCTCCTCACACCTGCAGACTGAGCCCAGCCTGTGTTTAGATCCCCTCCTCACACCTGCAGACTGAGCCCAGCCTGTGTTTAGATCCCCTCCTCCTCAGACGTGCAGACTGAGCCCAGCCGTTTGTTTTCCCGTTACTGAAGGATTTGGCTCCACGGTTTTCTGCGTCTGATGCCTGTCTACCATCTGCAGTAAGTGGGCTGCAATGCCTTTTAACTACTGTCCCATTTCTGTGGGGCGGGGGGCAGTTTGTGTCCCACATTAAACGTGCAGCAATTCCCCGTGGTCTTCCTGTATGGAGAGATACCACCATAGCCGGCCCCACACTGGATTCTGACTCTGTTTCATTAAGTATTCATGCCTGAAACAGAAGATGATTCTCCACAGTCCTACACTGCCTCCTACTGGTCTGTGCTCTTTGTTTGAACGGTGTCTTACCGCTTCCCAACCCGGATGATCACGCATCACAGATCCCATTGACCTGAGCTGAACGATAATTGGATTTTTTTTTTCTATTCCTGCAAACCAAACCAAACCAAAGCAGGATCTTTACCAGCACACGCAATATCTGGGGAAATGCAGGAATTTTTAGTTCTTACCCAGCATCTGTGCCATCCAGCCTCAGAAAGACGTCCCACTGCGGGTGTATGTGCACACCGGCTCCCCCTGCAGGACATTCGGCTGATCTGGCTGTCTACGTACTCATGTTTTCCAGAATTTAGCCCCCTGTGTAGGTGTCTGTATTCTGTCAGCTTGTTTTAATGCCAAATGGTCTGTCATTTTAGTTGTTGTGATCAAATGGATGCACAGCTTGAAAAGAAGCAAGAAAAGAGTGCCTGAATTAAAATGAAAGACAGCGTTTGCAATCCCCCCCACCCACCCCCAGCCGGCTTGCAGGGGGTGGCAGCTCTCGGTCTAGCCTCATGGTCAGCAAGGCCACGTCTACGGTTGGCGAACGCCATTTCCTGGTTACTCGTCAGGTGTTATTCTCGGCGGTATCTCGGATCTCTCACAGCTGCCGGAAACATCGTGAAATTCGCAACTTAAATAGGAGAAGGTGTGAGCGCACTGTGCCCCTGTTTGCACCCACTGGGGGGCGCTGGCTGTGCTCCCACACCATGACAGTGATGTGCTGATCAGACTGCGGGGGAGGGGGAAGCGAGTGCAGAGGTTTGGGTGGGCTGGATGAGTGTCCCCCCCCCAAGGAGGTGTTTATTAGACTCCAGTCTTCCATGGAGTGTGGGGGGGGGGTGCCCCCCTCTCTAATTATTTGATGCACTTTTGTTTTGTATTTCCATCTCGTTTACCTTCTGTAAACTTAATCCACGGAGCTGTTGGTCCCTTTCCAGCTCCTGCTTAGGCAGGTGTTCCACGTTTAAAGGATTTCCGGAATGTTGCCGTTCCTTGCATCAGTCTCTAGGGTCCCCGGAAACTGGCATCGGAGTAGGGGGTGTCCGCTTCGTTGCTGCTGAGTTTATAGCGCGTTCTGCTGCTTTCCCTAAGAGTGGCCCTGAGGTATTCCTGGCCAGCGCAGTCCGACCATCTGCAGTGTCAGCCTGATGGCAAATGCAGAACTGAGACTGGACATTCTTTTCATTGTCAACAGATGAACAAAACTATCCATAACTGCCCATCACTCATGACTTGAATCAAAAGACATTGTCATGTTATTCTGTTAAGTTATTTTCTGTCAGACAATATGAGTAGTTATGGCCATATGGTCTCAGGCCAGGACCCCCCTCCCTTCCCAGAAGTGGTGACATTTTGACCTCAATTGATGTCATTGTGGGTGTTTGGAACAATCCGGTTCCGGTGAACATGTCCAAGATTCTGACCTGTGTCAGCACGGCATCATCAGGGTGCCATTCCTTTGTGACTCTGCCCCCTTGTGGCTGCTTGGGGGACTGTGCTGATTGTCATACCTCTAGCTAAGCGGCCTCCACTGGCTCCCCTTGTCTTCCAGATGATGAAGTTTGCTTGGGACAACTACCGTCGTTACGCCTGGGGCAAGAACGAGCTTCAGCCCCTGACCAGGAATGGGCACACGGGGAGCATGTTCGGTGAGTGACCTCCCTGCACTGTGTTTGTGTGTGTGTGTGGTGGGGGGGGGAGGGGGTGGGTAGAGGACCTGTTCTTGGAGCACAATCACTGTAATAGTTCATCACCAGTTTCTGACCACACTCCCAGCTCCTGTGGTGTCGGAGCGTCAGCAGACACATTCCCACCAGCGTGCACCTCGAATTAGACACCAAACAGGATGTAGGCCCTCATTCTGCCATAATTCATCCTTCCCCTTGAGGTTCTGGTCCGCTTACACATTTGCGTACTCGCTGTAGCCAGCCAGGACTACTCAAGACGGCGTTGGATGTAATTGGAGCTGGCGTGGTGAAACGGGGGTGTGAGGTTTTGAGCTCGTGGGGGGACTTGGTGTGTTTTTGCCCATTGGATTCCACCACCCACACAGTCCAGTTTAATAACGCTGATGATAAAGTGGGATCAGGTTTTAATGAGGACGGCAGAGACGTCGTAAGCGCCTCAGGCCTTCTGCCCTGCCAAGCTTTTTTCGGTCCGCTGATCCTATCTGCGATGAGGCTGACCTTTCTAGCTTTTAATTGCTCTTTGAAATCTGCCCTCCCCCCGACTTCAGGAAATAAATCTGGGGTCTTAGAACTTCGGGGCTGATGGGAATGGCGTGGAACTTATGGGGACGTTGGCTATTGAGGCGATGCGGTCTCGTTCGGCAAAATTAAAATGAAAGGAAGTTAATTAGACAGTTAAATAAAAGTTTGCCGTCTCTTGGGTTTGCAGTCCGTGGTTGTCACATCGATCCGCCGACCATATTGAGCCAGTCAGAGAACCCCAGTCTTAGGAAGATTTGATGTAGTCAGTGTGAGAAAGTGTAGCCATTTTATATTTTATATATTCCTTGTCCTGGAGGCCTAATTTGTACCTTGTCCTTTGTTCCAGCTGAGCTCGCAGCTAATTAGTCTTGATACCGTCGCTGACTGAGGGTGCGCGATCAGAATCGCGTTAAAGGCGTCTGCGCTCTCGCCTTATTTCCTCATTAGCCTTCAGCTGAATTTGTGCATTAAACATTTCCTGCAGGAAGGATGAGATACCTTTGTGTTACGAAAGCCATCCGCATTCATTATCTGGAATTATTAACGATTACTTAATTGTTAAAAACTTTGGAACGTGAAGAAGGCATGCCTACGCTAGTCAAATCAGAGCTGCTCATTTGAGACGAAAGCTTTTCGGCTGGGGTGTGGCTCACACACCGCCCCCTACAGGTAGGTTAATGTCAGCGCTGCCCGAAGAAACTTTACGGAGTTGTTTTGTGTGATAAATGAGCGATCGGCAGCATCCCTGGCGGGCCAGAGGTCACCAGCTTGTTGGGCGAGCATCAGCGTTTATCATTTAATTGGCCTGTTATCAGAGGGACGCAATTAGCAGCCGAACAAGACACATAGGGGTACTATGGCGTTCATTTCACTGTCTCTCCCCGAGCCTTTGAAATCATTTCCTCTTTCAAACCCCTGAGGAGCCGACCGCCACTCTCTCCCAATATCGCTAATCTGATAAGAAGGTTTTTTTTTTTCTATTTTCTTGCAGTTAAATTATTTCTTTAATGCACATTTGACGATATGGCGCTCTCAGCCTGACCGTGGGCTTGTTCTGCATACTCAGGATTCAGCCGTGACGTTCCCCACAGCAAGCCAGGTGTGAAATTGGATGCTGTGTTTCGTCGTTTAATCCAGGGGTAAACAGAGGTGCGTGGAGATGAAATCGGTGTCTGACAAACGTGTCGGACCGCTTCGACGTGCCTGGAGCCCCTTGGAAGGCCCAGTCCAGGCTCATGGTGGGATTCTGGGAACACTGGCTTTGTTCTGTTTTGCACGCTCTCGTTACAACCACCCCACCCCCCCCCCCCTCCATCTCTTACTCACCACGTCGCACTTCCTGTCTGTCGACGAAAATATTAAGCAGATACAGAGGTTAAAGGACAGCAGGTGCCTTGTGGGTGACTGGAGCATATTAACGTGCGTGTGCGTGTGTGTGCGTGTGCGTGTGCGTGCGTGTGCGTGTGCGTGGCCGTGCATCTGTACAGTCACCAGCACTGGTGACCCTACTTCTGGCTCGGCGGCAGCCTCGTTAATCACTAATTAGTTGACGCCCCCTCATCTCCACACTCTCTCAGTCCTTCTTGTATTGTTTGCCGCCTCAGTGTCAGAGGTGCGCGGTGACTCCATGCCTTCAGAAAGGCGACGTCACGGCCTCCCTACATCCGGCAGCCTCGGGCGATGTCTTTAACTGCGTCTTGTGACATGTACTGCCCGCCGCCTCCTGCCCGGGCCTGAGGCGCGTCGGCGGGCAGGAGCGTGCCCGCGGTCACGCCGCGCTCTGCCAGCTCCATCCAGCGTCGCTCTGACGGCGGCAGCCAGAAATGATTCAGCATCCTGCCGTCACGCGGCCTCTTAATGACTTTTTAAAATTGCCCTCTTGTTTTTCCCCGATGTCGTGTTTGGTGAGATATTCTGCCGCACGAAGGAGAGGCAGCCGTTTGCTGGGGGTGGATGGGGAGCTTTTATTAGCTCTGGTCTATCATCTTTGAAGATACCTCACTGGATCCTGTGACCATGCCACAGGTCAGGAGGACCGCAGATCGGCAGGATTAAGGAAACGCCGTCCGAACGTGATACAAAGGATAGAATAGAGAAGAGTTACAAGCCATCACTATGTGTCCCGCATGCTAATGACCTGAAGACCAGCTGGTTTTGATTGGTCTGCACACCTGTCAGTCTGAATTGAGGGGTGGGATTTGGGGTGTGACCAATAAGGAGGTTCTGTTAAGTGGTGCGCTGACGTGGCAGGGTTCCTTGAAGGGCACTTCTGTTTTTTACATTTTACATGCTTGAAAACTACCGGCTGACCCCTCAGGAAAAACCAAGCAGCTGCTAAGGGGTGGAAAAACGACACAGCCGTCATAGGAAGTCAAGTGTTCAGAAGGTGTTTAGAGTCGGGTGGCGTCTGAGAATATTTAACGTTCCCATGGTTTTTCCATCATTTTCTGGTTTTTCATTGCATGAGTTGACTTCAGAGTATTGTTCCTCTTTCTTGATGTTTGATGTCAGACTGTAGATCTGCAGAACAGCAGTGAGGGGGGGGGCAGTGTATTTAAATATTCTCCTGGCAATAAGACAAGCAAGCCCAAGATGTGTGAAAGCTTCGCTTGATTGGCGCTTGTCCTCTGAAACGCCCTTCCGTTCATCGTGGGCAAATCTGATGTCCTGGTGTGGGCACCCAATCTGCAGTGTCTCACTCTTCCTGATGGTTGCATGTGGTCATGTTATTTCCCATCATGCACTGTGTTTCCACAATGTTTCTGTAGTCTATAGTAGTGAAGAGGACTGAAGTTATCCTGCTAGTCAGGATCTCATGTTATCTTAATGCAAAACAACTTGCCAGCCTGGCACATTCAAGTCTAATTTGGTGTGTGTGTGTGAGGGGGAAGGGCTGTTTTAATTGCATATAAAGGAAAAAGTGGGGTATTTAACACGCAGCACATAACACAGACTCATGGGATTGCAGGTAAAGTAGCGTCACGACCTCATTTGAGGTTCAGAAGCCCTGACAGATGAGAGTCTGTTTTGTGCCCCTTATTTTTCCCCATCTGTTCTATCTGATGCTTTTGCCCAAAGTGAATTACAGTAGAAGGAAGGGTCACAATATTTTTCAGCTCTGAACCGCCAACCTTTCAGAGCAGCGTCTTCCATGCTGCGCTTTCAGGTGCTGCTCAGTTAAAAACTCTCCATTCCCACTTCTGTGCTCCTTTCTGCTGGAAGCAGTTCAGTAAGCCGTGCCTCGGGGTGTCTTCTGCTGCCCCCACCCTGCTTCACACCCACCCACCCCGGAGGGTGTTTATGGGAAACCGAGTGAGCAGACCATGGCCATGATCCAATTGCTCCTCCCAGGTACCTCAAACACCCCTGACTGAAAAGGCTGCATAAATGACCCCTATTAAGCTTCATGAAGAACAATAATGTTGGCCCCGCCCCTGGCCCCGCCCACCCGGGCTTAAGCTCTAAGCCCTGGGGAGGAGCCACCTCCCAGCCAACATAACACAACGCTCATTTTTGATGTTATTACAACACATTACATGCGTGTTACAACCTGTGTTTAGTGTGTCAAGGCTTCAGAAGTGTAATTACTGGAAGAGCTCCTCCAGACTCCACCCTGATCGTTAAGAGAAGCCGTCACACTGCCAGCTCCAGTTGTGTCATGGGGGAAACAGAGCGGCTACTGTTAATGGCGGGAATATAATGAAGTTTTGTTAACGAGCCAAACGTACGTAGTGTGGGACGCCTGGGAAGCCTCTGACAGAAGCCGGACGGTTGGCCGACTGTTTGTATGCGGCTGCTGTGGATGGGGGAGGGCATGGTGAATCTCTCCAGTACCTGGCCCCACCAGCCACTCAGTCCACAGATGCCCCCCCCCCTCCGCTTTGTCTGTATGGCTTGGACGGGGCAGGGGGGGGGGGGGGGGCTGTGCTATTTGTGTCCTTCCTGGCAGCCTTTCTCTTTTAAATGGGAAGGTTGCCCTTGCCCCCCCCCGCCCCAACGCCACACATCTTTTTTAACAGGATGAAACAAATGAAAAACAAATGAAAGGCCTGTTAACCCAACCCCCCCCCCCCCAAAAAAAAAGGCTGGATAAACATCCCCCTGCTCGCTTTGCCAGCTGCTGGCCAGTGCTGCTCCCGGCTCAGTCCCACCACATCCTGTCAGCTCTGACAGCATCTGGATAAACTCCAGGCTCCCCTTCTTGCTTCCAGAGACGAGCTCTGTAGCTCCTCCCTGATGGCAAAAGGTCAAAGTTCACCTGGGCTGAAAAGTGCAGTATTTTTTTTTTCTATTAGGGCTGCCAGCAGGGGGCGCTTCAGCAGTTTTGCGTCATGGGTTGCATCCCATCTCCATCCCCCAGCCTCTTTTTTCCTTCTCTCTCTTTCACCCATTATCTCTCCCCCAGGCTGCACTGAAACTTGGCCCTCGTCTGAGTGGCG